GGGAACATGGAGGGACATGGCCATGGGGATAGAGGTGGTGCGGTGTTCCGGGGGGGGAATGAGCAGGACCAGGACATGGGGGTCACGGCACATCCGTGGCAGGGGCGGGGGGGGCATGGCCGAGCTGTATCCTGGTCCATCTGTGCTGGAGGGGCCAAGCGCTAATCCTGTGCTCCTGCTGGGATGTGCCGGATGCAGGATGTGGCCTCGCTGGGTAGAGTCGCCTGGGGGGCTCCGGATCCGGCCGCCCCGGCACAGTCTTGAGGGCTTTGCCCTGGAGACGGGGCAATAGGGGGTCCCACGGCAGCTCCCCCTGCCCCAGCCGGCAGCTGGGCCCAATCGCCAGCCCCACAGATGGCCCTGGCCAGCCAGTCCTACACCATAAAACCCGCAGCCCCTCAGGGCAGCAGTGCCGGAGCCAGCTGGGACGGAGCTGGCGTCCAGGCGGCCCAAGGTAAGAGGGGCCAAGGTGGGGTGTGAGCCCCATCTTGGGGTGACCCCCTGTCCTGGGGGGCTGCCTGCAGGATCTGGGGATGTCCCCTGCTCTTGTCGCCATGTCCCCATCGCTGCCATCATGACGCCTTGCTCCCTGGTGGGATGGCACATGCCAGGCATCCCTGGTGTCGGGGAGTCCCCGTGGGACTCCCCAACACTGGGGACACCCCCGGGGATGTGGCCATGTGGCTGCTCCACTGGTAACACTGGTGGTCCTCTGCCAAGGTGGCCGGTGCAGCGCAGCGTGGCCAGGGGACGGTGCGGCATGGCCGGGGTGCTGCGGGTGCCCGGTTGGGTCCTGGTCGCCCTGCTGCTCTGGGTGGCCAAGGCGGAAGCAGCCACCGGGTGAGTCCTCTGTGCCAGGGCCTGTGCCACAGCCCTGTGCCGACACCCGGGATGGGGCGTGGTGGGGGGACGCTGGCCCCAGCCCAGATTTGGGGGGGGTGGGATGGGTGCCGGGGTGGGTGCTGGTGCCGCAGGTGAACGAGGTGCCATGGCAGGCGGTGGTGCGAGCGGACGGTGCAGGTGACGGCAGAGGAGGAGGTGACGCCGCGGCGCGAGGACACAGTGCCCTGTGCCAGCCTCTACCACTACAGCCTGGTGGGCTGGCGGATCGACCGGGACCGCATGCGCCAAGCCTATGGTGGGGACCGCGGTGAGCCCCACCGCGACACCCAGCCCGGCTCCGGCACCCCCCTCTGCTACATCTACAGGTGAGTGCTGGGGGGAACGCGGGGTGCACAGCACAGGGGTGATGCTGGGGCGGGGGGCAGGAGGGGGCACCCATCCCCGTGCTGCATGCTCCCCGGCCCACCCCTGATGCCGGGACTCCCCCCACCCCGCAGGCCCCCGGAGACACGGCCGGTGGTGTGGAACCGCACGGTACGCGCTTGCTGCCAGGGCTGGAGCGGACCCCACTGCACTGAAGGTAGGGGCGGGCGGTGAGGCGGTGGCACCATCGTGCCATCCCCGCCACCCGGCACCCAGCTGGCAAGACGCCCGGTGCTCGCCGGCGGAGACGAGGTGTGTCCCTGGGCCGCAGGCGAAGGCTTGCTGGGGCGCTGCTACGGCACGTGGCAGTGCCAGGACGCCGCCGGCAGCCACAATCTCTCTGCCATGAGCCTGGCCGAGTGCTGCCGGCACCCCTGGGGTCACAGCTGGAGGAACGGCTCCGCCGCACCCTGCCTCGCCTGCACCCACCTACCCCTCGACGGTGGGTCCAGGAGTCCCAGGGGGAGCGTGGGGGGTCCCGCAGGGGCGTTTGCTGAGCGGCGTCACCTCCCCATGGCAGGAGAGGCATCCCCCCAGCCGTCGCCTGCCGCGTCCCTGCGAGGAGTGGCTGCCCGGCACCGGGGCCCCTCGGCCAGCTGCCTCACCTGGGCTGGATCCCGGTACCGCACCTTCGATGGGAGGCACTTCCACTTCTCCGGCGAGTGCACCTACAGCCTGGCCGCCACTGCTGATGGCACCTGGGCCATCTCCATCACTGCTGGCAATCCCCGGGTACTGGCCATCCCCGCGGTGGGGGGTTTTTGTGGGTGGGAGGAGGGGGAGCCTGGCTGGGGTCTCCGCTCCCCCCATGGACAGTCGCTCTGGGGGCAGGGGGGGCCATCGGTCCGTCCCCACGGCATGTCACATCCCCGTGGTGTGCCCCAGCATGGTTGCGGCATCCCCGGGGCATCTGTGGCTGCCAGCAGCCACAGGGCTCCCGGTAGCCCTGGCACACACTGCAGGCAGCTGGACCCAGCCCTGGCTGATACTGCGCTGCCGCAGACGCTGCACATGACCTTCGGGATGGACACAGTGGCGGCCCAGGGCCGAAACATCTTCATGAATGGCGTGGCAGTGCCGGAGGGACAGCCGTACCTGCACAACGGTGAGGGTGGTGGGAGGCTCCGTCCCCTGCTGCCACTGATCTTGGGGTCCTGGGTCCTCATCGCATCCCCATCCCTGTCCCCATCCCCACCATTGTCCCTGTGCCGTGCCGTGCCGAGCCACCCGCTGCGGTGCCGGCAGGGATCAGCGTCACGTGGCTGGGTGACTGGGTGGCCGTGGCGAGTGGGCTGGGCGTGCGGGTGACCTCGGATGGGCGCCAGGCGGTCACCGTGACGGTCGATGCCGAGCAGCGAGGCGGCACGCGGGGGCTCTGTGGCCCCTACAACGATGACCCTGCCGGTAAGCATCACCTCACCGGTGATATCCCTGCCGTTCCCGTGCTGGGGGTGCAGGGGAGACATGGTGCGGGGGCGGCTGTGCCGGGGCCGTGTGCCGTGTCCCTCCACCTGCCCCAGCCCTCCCTGTGCCCCCAGATGACTTCCTGCGGCCGGGGGGAGATGTGGCCCCCTTTGCCGCCAGCTTTGGCAACTCCTGGAAGATCCCAGATACCGGCTTGGAGGTACCGGGGCAGAGCTGGGTACTGGGGGGTGCTGGGGCTGCTGAATCCCATGTCGGGCTGCGGGTCCATGGAGGGGCCACCCCGGTTCTGAGGGTCCCCCCCGTGCTCAGCCCGCCTGCAGGGACGCGGCAGAGCTCGGCCTCGGCTGCGCGGCAGGTGACACGGTGCGGCAAGCGGCTGAGGCCATCTGCAGGAAGCTGCTGGCTGAGCCCTTCCGCCAGTGCCACGGCGAGGTGAGTGGGTGCCCACTGCCACGAGAACCCAGGAGGTGCTGGGGGTGCCGGTCCCACCGCCCTCACCCACCGCCCCTGCACCAGGTTGACCCCGGTGGTTTTTATGCGGCGTGCCTGGAGGTACAGTGCCGGGAGGGGGATGCTGGGTCCTCACCACCACCGGCCGTCTGTGACACCTTCGCCGCCTACGCGCGGGACTGTGCCCGGCACCAAACCTACGTCGACTGGCGCCAGCCAGGCTTCTGTGGTAGGGACCCGGGGGGGGTCTGGCACCGAGCCCCTCGCTGCAGGTCCCCCCACCACCGCTGCGCTGGTGGCTCCTGCACCCCAAAGGCTCGTGTGTGCACCCCTCAGTTGGCGCTGAGCCCGCCGGTGCTGAGCGCGGTGTCTGTCCCGGCAGAGCGGCAGTGCGGTGCGGGGAAGCGGTTCTCGGACTGCGTCTCCTCCTGCCCCGCCAGCTGCGCGGCCGTGGGCAGCACCGAGGAGGGGCCGTGCCGCGAGGACTGCGCCGGCGGCTGCGAGTGTGCGCCGGGGCTCTACCAGGACGGGGGGCTCTGCGTCTCCCCGAGCGCCTGCCCTTGTCACCACCGCCGCCAGCGCTATGCCCCAGGCCAGAGCATCCGTCAGCGCTGCAACCAGTGGTGAGCAATGCCGAGGCACCAGGGCCGGATCCTGCACAGGCAGGGCCAGATTCTGCACCCACAGGGGAATAAACCCTATGGATGGGCACAATGCCCATCGCACCCCCATTTTTTGGGGTGGGGGGCAAGCGCCCGTGCATCCATGCCTGGTGCGGCAGGAGGTGCCGTGGCTGTGTCGTCATCCCCCCTGGTGAGCCTGGTGTCCCCTCTTGTGCCCACAGCACATGCCAGGGTGGGCACTGGCTCTGCAGCCAGGACCGGTGCCCGGGGGAGTGCGCAGTGCTGGGGGGCCGCCACTACGTCACCTTCGACCGCCGGCGCTTCTCCTTCCTGGGCGCCTGTGCCTACACACTGGTGCAGGTGAGTGCGGCCGCTGCGGTGGCTGGGATGGTGGCCGGGGCAGTGGAGACCTGCCCTGGGGGGCTCTGCCCCGGGGACCCTGGCACAGGGGGGCTCAGTAGGGTCTCTGCCCCCCCCAGGACTTCGTGGAGGGGCAGCTGCTGATCACGGCCGAGCACGAGGCTTGCGATGGCCGCCGGCCCCTCGGCTGTCTCCGGTCCCTTTCCGTCGGTGCCCGCCAGACCTCTGCCCGCCTCCGCGGCACAGGTGACCTGCGGGGACAGTCCCTGCGCCCCCGTGGGCTGGTGGATGCCCGCCTGGGGGCCATGCCCTGACATCCCCATGGTGGTGGGTGCCAGCTCAGTAGCCGTGCCCTGACGTCCCCTTGCTCTCCTGGCACAGGCGAGGTGACAGTGGACGGGCGGGAGGTGACGCTGCCCTTTGCCGGCACCGAGCTGAGCATCCACCGGGTGTCCTCCTCCTTCCTGCTGCTCCAGACCTTCGGGGCCCATGTCCTGTGGGGGCTGGAGACCCCCGCCGCCTACATCACCCTCCAGCCTGCCTTCGCCGACAAGGTGAGCCCCAGTCCCCAACTGTGCCGTGCCACCACAGTGGTGCCTGGTGGTGGAACTGGGCTGGGATCCGGCGGGATGCATCCTGGCTACAGGGGGTCCTGCGGGCCCCATCCTGAGCCACGTACCGGTGCGGCAGGTGCGGGGGCTCTGCGGTACCTACAACTGGAACCAGCAGGATGAGTTCACCACGCCGGCGGGCGACGTGGAGACCAGCATCACCGCCTTCGCCAACAAGTACCGGGCGTCTGGCGACTGCCCCGTGCTCAGCCCATTCCCCCTCGAGCCCTGCGGTGCCTTCGCCGGGCGGCGGGAGCTCGCCGAGGCCGCCTGCGCCGTCCTGCACGGCCCTGCCTTCCAGGTGCCGAGCGGCCCCCGCCCCGGCTGAGCGCCAGCGTGGCCGGTGCCTGGCCAAGGTGCCGAGTGCCAGCGCCGCAGCCTGACCTGCCCCTCCTGCCCCCAGCCCTGCCACCAGGTCGTGGAGCTGGAGCCCTTCCTCCAGCTCTGCCTGCACGATGCCTGCGCCTGCCGGGGTGGGCAGCGCTGCCTGTGCCCGGTGCTGGCTGCCTACGCTTGGCAGTGCGCCCGGGAGGGAGCTGCACTCTCCTGGAGGAACCAGAGCTTCTGCGGTGCGGGGCAGGGGGGCGGGATGGAAGGGATGGATAATGTGGGGTGGGATGGGATGGGGATGGGATGGGGATGGGGATGAGGATGGGATGGGGATGGGATGGGATAGGATGAGGTGGGGATGGGATGGGGATGGCATGGCATGGGATGAGATGGGGATGGGGATTGGGTGGGATGGGATGGGGAGGGGATGGCGATGGGATGGGGGTGGGATGAAATGGGCATGGGATGGGATAGGATGAGGTGGGGATGGGATGGAGATGGGGATGGGATGAGATGGGGATGGGATGGGGATGCTGCCACCACATGCCAGGGGACAGCGGGGAGGGCCAGGTGCTGGGGGTGCAGGCAGCAGGGCAGGGCAGAGCAGGGATGCTGCTGTCAGTGATCTCCCCATATCCGTCCCCGCAGGTGTGCCGTGCAGTGGGGGGCAGCTGTACCTGGAGTGTGGCCGTCCCTGCGGCCAGACCTGCGCCGACCTGCGCCTGGACGGGGGCAGCTCCTGCCCCGACCTGGACGGGCTCTGCATCCCTGGCTGCAACTGCCCTGCTGGGCTGGTGCTGGCTGAGGGCGGGCAGTGCGTCCCGCCGGGTGACTGCCCCTGCCACCACGGCACCCAGCTCTACCCTCCTGGCAGCCAGATCCACCGGGGCTGCAACGCCTGGTGCGTAGGCCAGCTGGTGCCCAAGGGGGTGGCAGGGACCGGACAGGGGACACAGGGGATGGCAAGGGCTGGGCAGGACGAGGGACACCGATCCAGTGCCGCAGGACGTGGCGGTGGCAGGAGACGTCTGATGAAATCCCCCTACGGCCCGTTTGGGACGGCACCGCGGGATAGGTGGCTTTCATTGACCGTCCCTGCCACAGGGCGCCGGTGCTACCGACAAAGAGCCTGTCTCCGGCCCCCCCGGCATGGCTGGCAGGGGGGACCCATCCCTGAGGTGGTGATGTGGAGTCCAGGGCATGTCTGCTGGGAAGTGGGCTTTGGGTGGGATGGGGTGGGATGGGATGGAGATGGGGATGGGTGGGATGGGGATGGGGATACCAGGACCCTGGCGTGGGGCCAGCTGGGGGCTCCCTGGGCCTGGAGGGTGCTGGGGGGCTGCCCTCACCATGTCCCCTCCCCGCAGCATCTGTGCCGGTGGGTCCTGGCGCTGTGCCGAAGCCCCCTGCCCTGTGGCCGCCCTCTGCCCTGGGGGGCTGGTTCATGCCCCGGGGTCCTGCCTGCGCCGCTGCGACAGCACCGAGCCCAATGGCACCTGTGCCGGCATCGCTGACGGCTGCGTCTGCCCTCCTGGCACTGTATTCCTGGTATATGACCCCCTCCCTGGGGGAAGGAGTCCCAGGGGGCTGGGGGAGCTGGGGCATCAGGGGGCTG